GAAATAGCTATGATTAGCTCATATAGACGGGAACACGTATACGAGACAGGAAAAACGAAGAGAAGAGCCACAATCGTGTAACATCCGCCCAATATGGTACGGCAAACAGTGAGTAAATGAAGTAAAAGTGGTGATAAATGGGTCCGTTTTGTGGTGGGTAGTAGTGAGCACGCCATTGTTATAATAGTAAGCCACCTTTCTTTAACTTAATTTACTCCCCGTTTGGTTGTCCATCATTATTTGTATGTAGTGGTGAAAGACTGTGATAAAAATGCGAAACACTAAAAACAAACAATAATTTAAAAAGCGATGTCAAACCCCCTTCAAACAAATCTAAATAAATTTAATTTTTTAATCCGAGAAAAATAAGAAAAATTAACGGGTGTATGACTTCTGGACTAGTGGTGTGGTAGACCTAAGTATGTATGCGCGTACCGCTTTCCGCAACACAGGTAACGCACGCCGCTTAGGCGGTTGATTAACAAACGTTCTAATTAAAGGACTCACTCTATTGTCACCCACTAAACAATATACTTGTGTTTTTATTCTATGCTCACCTTCTTACAGTAATAGTTATAATCCATATTAAGTAAAGGTATGTATTCAACTTACTATATGACGAGTCCGACAAAAAGAACCGTGATTTTTATAAAGAACAAGTGAACATTAATAATTATTAAAACAAAATAGTGTTTATAAACATTAAAAATCATTGAAGTAAAAATTGAGTTTATAATCATTTTTATAAGTGAACATTAATAATTAAGATAAATACAAGTGGATGGCTCTAAGAAGAGACACATTGCGAATGGTTTACATTAATGCCATCTGTTGGCTTGGAGAGATGGGAGAGATTGTGACATTTTTGACGTAATGTATTTTACGTATTCATGTTTTTGGCAAGTCATTTGTCAATTTGGAACGTCCAATTTGTTAGGTTACATAAAATATTTAAAAACAAACATAAAACAATACACAGCTTTTGGTAAAAAACAAAATAAAGAGATAAAATAAACTTAAAGAATAAATTACTGATAAAAAATATATCAGTCTAATATTTATTTCTCACCATTTTTATAACGCTATTTACAGCGACTTCAAAATGCGAAAAATGACGAAATGTCATTAATCTAAATTGACAAATGACTTGTCAAAAACATGAATACGTAAAATACATT